AACTTATTTTGTGCTTAATATGATTTAAGTTGAATTTAAATAGAACTTAAAGTAAATTGAAAGTATAATTAATATACTAATGTGTACTAAAGTGGAACAACTTTAAGTGCACTTATTATACTTTAAGTATACTTGATTTTTGGGTATTTAATTCATGATTGAGTAATACATTTCAATGCAATTTCAAGTATATTCATAACATACTCTCAGTTAACTTACAGTATATTTTCAATTAACTTACAGTATATATAAAAATATATTTAAAACATATTTTTTCTGTATTATACAGATAAAAACAAATCATTGATACAATGCAACATAAACTTTATTATGCGCTTGCACATAAAATTTGCAACAACAGTGTTTCTTTACAAAAATAGTTGTTTACTATTTACTCAATTTACTCAAATAAAATGCATATTAACAAAACAAAAAATCTTATATACATCTCACGTCCAAGTTGTCGACCGCATCCAGTCCCTGTCTATCGCCAGTAATTCCTGGAGGAAGTTTCTGATCAGTTTCAAGTTCTCTGCTGTCGACCAAATGCCTCAAGTAAAGGACACACTCCTCTTGTTTAAGCTCCTCAGGGTGACAAGTGTGTGAGCGAGTGTCTGTTTTTGTGAAAAAAAACCCCAAACAAACACAGTCCGGCTCTTGCGTCAAATCAACTTGAAAACACCGACTGGACAGAACTCATTAATAGCTTTAAATTGAGGTATGACATGGCATCTGCCTCCTACATGTCAAAGACAAACTACTTAAAACCATCAACTATTGTCTTTGAACTTATTCCAACTGGGGTAGAATTCAATATTTATAGGGAGAATGGTCGTAAAATAGTAAGGAAAATAGTAAGGAATATGATGTGTTTTTAACATTGATTTGACATGAGAGTCTAATGCTTTTTCACAAAAACAGACACTCGCTCACACTTGTCACTTTGAGGAGCATGAACAAGAGGTGTGTGCTTTACTTGAGGCATATAGTCAACAGCAGAGAACTTGAAACGGACCTAAACGACCTCCAAGTTTAGCCTGAATCACCAGCGAAACACAGGCACCGGATGCGGTCGGCTCATGTCGCCGTTTCCCCGGAACTAGCTAACATACACACAGTGTATACATAAAATAATTACTTAAAAGTATTCATTCCTTCTTTTGGCAGAACTGCTCATTTTTTCACTTCCGTCTTAGTGCTGCACGAACCTCGGAAACTGCATCTGCCAAAAAAAATACAAAAAAAAAAAATTCAAATCCGTTTTGTAAATATAGTAAGTAATGTTTATATATATAAAGTGCATTTTACAGACCAAGGTCATCCAAAGCGCTTTACAATGACGGTGATGACGGAGGCAAGTAGCCGAGCACACTGGACCATCAGCTCCAATCAACACCATTCACTCTCTCATTTACATTCATACCTATTGTGCAAAAGATCTGAGACTTGAATCAGATTTGGTCACTCACCTGTTATGGGTTGCACTTTTGTAGCATCAAGTTGATGCCTCATCCTTTCCCTTCTTCCTGATTTTCCAGTTCGGGCTGATGTTGCCAATATCTCCCTCGTGAAAACAAGGACAGCTAATTCCTGTGTGAAAAACATGCAAATTTGATTCAGGAAAAGCCATTTTTGAAACGCTAACATTGTTTCCAGGCAAGAAGTGCTGTGGGATGACATAAAAGTGAGCAGTAACCCTAACCCTCCACACACTCCTTGATTAATTTTAAGGTTTCAGGCAGTTCTTCAAAAATAAAAAGTAAATTAAATTTTAATGCAATTGTAAACCGCTTTGAAACTCAGATCTGCAGTTAAAAGGCGGTATATAAATAAAGATTACTTACTTGCAAACATTATGAACAATATAGGTTAAATTTTGATAAGCCACTAAACTTACCACGAAGACATGAAATTATCTCTTCCATGGAAGGCGCTGCAGTATAACTGGGAATGAATCCATTTGCCTCCCTCACAACTGAAGCCACACAATCAACATTTTCCTCCTGTTAAGTATAACACATGTTGTAAATGATGTATGTATGTATGCATGTCAAAATACATACATGGTCTGAATGATGTGGGCTCTATGTGGGTTTCATCAGAACTGCTTGCTTGTGGGGAGAATTGTTGAGGCCATACACATAGCCTTCTCTTCTTTGACTGAGAATAAAGAAAATGGATATACTTTATAATACCACAGGTCAGTATATTGAATCATTAACATCACAACAAATTAGACTTACCATGCGGACAGGTGACAAACGCTCCTCTGAACTGCTGCCAAACAGATCCTCAGATTGTTCAAGATTTCTTTTTTAAGAAAGTGTTTTTTTTGTCCCTCAATTACGTTTCTTGTACTTGCAGTCTCTCTATTTTTTTGAGCTTTTCTTTGCCTAGAAAACAATGTATGGAAAGAGTTTAATATTTTCAATGCAAAGCATAGGTTTAAAACCCGAGTAGGGTTTTCATTACAAGTTAATATAGCCCAACTTTAAAAATAAAAAGCATACGTTTGATAGACCCAAACATAACATTAGCAAAAGCAAACATACCCTGTTCTGTATGTCTCACCTGACAAGATGTTTCTTCAGACCATCGCCATTGCAGCGACACACGTGTCATCTATGGCCCAAATATTTTACCCAGGAGGAAAAAAAAAAACAAGTTCTTGAAATACATCTGAAAAGGAACGATCGGTGGGGCATAAATATTTCATCGTGAAATAAAATTACCTTGCAAGCTTAAGCTAACTTCAAATAGCAGCACTTTAGCAGCCTCTGTCCTGCTGGGTTCCTTTCGTGACCCACACTTAATTTCTATCCAATTGTCGTCGTCTAAATCGGGCTGGGAGGTTACCTGCTTGAATCTTCCTGAACTCTTTAGAATTATTCCGGTGTTCTCCACTTTCAAGCTGTTATTGTGCAGGTAAAAATCGCGAGCATGAAGGACGTCATCCTTAGCTGCTGTTTTTCTTCAAATGAGGACTACATGCGCAAGAGCAAGACCAACTGTTCTGATTGGCTGATAGTTACAAAGCTGCAATGAATGCAGCACCTGATTGGACAATCATATTTTAGGCGCGGATCATTGGAGCGGATGCCTCCATAGTTAGCAGCTATTCATTCTGGTTTAGTTTATGATCGTTTCACACATGCTAGGGTTTTGTATCATTCATATTATAACACAACTCTTAAAAAAAGAAATAACTCTGTTGTACAGCTGAATGATGAAAGGTTTTGTGAAATTTTAACACTAATAGATTTTACATCTGAAAATGGATTGTCAGGTCAAGCTTCTGTTTTAGTTAAAGCTGAGTAAAACTGATCATGTTTGGAGAGACAGCTGAAGATATCTTCTACATTTATTACTGAAGTGTTAAGAACCAGCAATGTATTTGCTGTTGATCCTTGAATGTTTGGATCCTTGTATCTTTTTTGCCAGATTAACAACATATTAATAGTTTATTTTAGTCTTAGTGTAAATGAAAAAAAAAAAATATATATATATATATATATATATATATATATATATATATATTTCCTTCTATCTCTCAACAGCTGTCAATCCAACACTATTGAATTTGCTGTGTACTAAAATCAAGTGTATTTTCTCTTACATTCAAGTATACTACCATAAAATATATTTAGAATACAAATCTGTAATGTATTTATGATATATTTTTCTTGTACTAAAATTAAGTGTAGTTTTCTTTTAAGTATACTCCTGTGAAATATATTTAAAATACAGATCTGTAATATATTTTAGGTATATTTTGAGCGTAATAAAAATTAATATATTATTTTTCAAATATATTATAATATAATAAATAATAAATGTATTTAGAGTACTTCTCTAAAATACACAATTAGTAAACTTTAAATATACTCGATTTAAATATAATTTAACAAAATATGTTTACAATGTATTAGTTAGAAATGGAATACACTATAAGTATATTTAAATGTATTTTTTTTTCGCTTGGGCAAGGTTAGGCTTCTACTGTCTAAAAGTCCATTGTAATAACAAAAGTCCACATCTTCTTGGCAGCAGTGATTGTGCTCCAACTCAGGAGCCCAGGACGGTGTGCGTTTCGCTGCATTTCTTCACTTCTTGAGTTGAATCAGTTCTGCGAGACAGAATTCAAAGCGGCACAGTCATCAAACTTTGATGCTCTGTACTGCGACTGACACCGCACACATCCAGGGCAGTGCGCTGCGGCTCGTTTGCATGCTCCTGTTTTCTCAATCAATAATACATGTGTCAACATTTTAACTGCATAAAGGCCACCTGAGTGCACTACATGGAGTCTTCTGTCTGACAGTCTGTAAGCGCTCAGTCACTTACAATAACATGTAAGGCCTGTTTATTCAACCAAGAACAAAGTGCAAACAGCTGCCTGCTTCCAAAGGGGTGGCTCTGTTGTATAAAGGCATATATAGTTGGGTAAAAGGCTGTCTTTGGCAATAACATTAAAAAGGAAAAACATCCAAGGAACGGTATTCTAAAAACATTTGTGATACATTATTTATTGGCCATTACACATGATGATCAGACATTTTACTTTGTTATTTAATGTTTTAGAATGTCAAATTGTAATAATATATTTTTTGTCAAATTCGAAAATTGCCAGCTGCAAAGATAGCATTGCAATCATAAAGAACATAGTTTCAGAAATTGTCAAAATGTTGTAGACAATACTTTTTTTTTTTAAAGGCAGAACACTGCTGTAATTTCAGTGGTAGAACTACATTAGAGGAGGGAGAGTGGGTCAGATAAAAGAGACAGAGTTACATGTTGATGTCCCACCAGGAGACATCCTGTCAGGCATCAAAAATACATGCTCAAACCAGCTCAGCTTGTTTCTCTCAATGTGGGAGAGCAATGGCTCTGATCTGAGCTTCTTCTGTGTGATGGAGCTGCTCACTCAGATATCCAAGGGAGCTCCCAGCCACTCCTGAGGAAACTCTTGACAACCACACATGTGTATCTTGTCCTTTTTGTCATTACCAAAAACACAGTGAGTTCTGGATAATGACCATTGACCAATATATAGTCCTTGTACACGCCGTGATTGGAAATGCTATACCATCCTATGATAAACTGTTAATACTTAATAATCTATACAATTTACATGCAGCTAGATGGAGTATATCTGCTCTCTGAATATTGGTTTTGGACAGATAGATACAGCCATTAGCTAATTAGCACTCATTAGATTACCTGTCTGTGGCTAATGCTTTACCACTTATCCATTGGCAATTCAGTGAGTGATTCAGTGCTATTCTAAATACCTTTAAAGAGCTTGTGTTTGTTTTGTATAGACTCTTCACAAATCAACCAGTTTCGCTCGGCTTTTACCTTGATTGTCTTGCCCAAAGGACGGATTTTAGGTTTATTCTTCATCAACTGACCAATCTGCAAAAGGTACGCCGCAAAAACTGCTGTGCACTTTGTTTTCCCCTGTAGCCCACACCCTCTCACACACGTACGCCTTTACCTTTGAAAAATGCAATACTTCTCAAATCATTGGCGTAATGAAATGTTACCGTGCGGCGTTGTGCTCCGAAGTCATGCTTTTTTGCTTATCTAATAAACTCTCCAGCTCCCGACCTTTTCCCGGGAAACAGCAGATCAATGCGACGTGCCATGATTTGGCAAACAAACGCCTGTTTACTTTTACCTCGCTGTATCTTTTCACTCATTTACAAAGGTCAACAGACTTGCTGCCCTTTTGCTTTTCTGGATTGATCTAAGCCTTGTCGCCGAATGGACTGTACTGGGCAAGGCGTGTCGCTGAGGTGTATAAATTTGAGTTTGCACCAGGCGATCCTTCAAAGCTATGGGTCAAAAACAGCCAGCCTCTTGTGGAGTAGGTTTCTCTTTGAAGGCTGGACGGGTTATTCGGGCTTGTGTGCAAAACATAAGAGAGGAGGAGAGAGAGAGTGGTAGGCGGTGGGGAGGTGGGGGCAGTGGCAACAGCGGTGGTGATTGAAGTCTTAGAAAAGTGAAAGCCGTGAGGATTAGAGAGCTTAGATGTTTGTTGTACAGGAGAAAGAAAACATGTGGGTGCACCTGGTAAGTATTTAGAAGTTAAAAGTCCAAAATGTAGGTATGGAAGAGCGCTGGTTAGTGTTGGAAACACTAGTTTTTTGCATTAATACAGTTCACACAAAACAATACTCATATGTTCTTGACTGACTCTGTTTAAAAAGCACTTTAAAAAAGTACTTTTTTGGCGTTGCTCCCAGATCAGTCTGAGCACTCTGGTAAAGGTCTACACATTAAGCAACCTTGTGAGGCTTTAAAAGATTTAAAAGAAATTAATTAGATTAAGATTGCATGTTGTGGTCTGCATCTTACTTTTACAAGTCTTTTACAATCTTTCTGTTGGAGAAAACTAAATGTATCATATAAGTTCCCAAACTTTAAGCATCACAATTTAAATCTGTAACATATTAAATGTTCTTGGTTTTGTCTGTAATGTTTAGTAAAACAAACATGACTTTTAAAATGATGGACCATTTTATTTATTCAGTAAAATGCTAGAACAAAATTAGACCTTTATCTGTACTGGAAAAACTGAAATATCTGTATTGTCTTTTCACACATACGCAACTGAAGGGTGATAAAAGTACCATGTTTCCTGCTTTTGCCTCACATAACAAAAACAAAACAATTCAATGTCAGATATGCAAAGGATCTTTGTATTTCTACTACATTGCAATGATCAAACCATACGTATATGGTATAAACAAAGCTTTTCCTGTGCTCTTAAAAGCATCCGTTGCCCTTGTCTCGGTAGTATCCAGTTCATCGGGTTACATGCCAGCATAAATTGATAGAACCGTTTGATTGTTTTAGTAACTTGCTTGCACAAAATTAGAACTCTGTACTAGATCAACTGAAATCTCTGTTTTGTCCATTTTTGGAAAAACATACTTGATCACCCACACAATCAGTTTTCTACTTTTTGACAGATTTGCAACAATTTTCTCAGTTTCACAGTCCACCAAGTTTCCCAAGTGTAATTCAAAGTTACAAAACTCACCACTAAAAATCGCTATTTTTCCAATAAAAATAAAAAGATAGAGGAGAAATCTGAACATTGTTACAGTCGTGTCTAGAAGCTATTTAAATAAAACTTTTGCCATTGCTTTACACTGGGGTAATCAAAGAGAGAAATATGACCGAATTCTACCAGAAGAGGAGAGGATATAATGAAGGATACATAAGATTTGACTCACTC